GAAGCGGGGCGACATGCACAAAGGACAAAAAATATGGCGGTGTATCTTTCCATGTTCTGGCGGAAGATTCATTCATATGTTGGGTGGTGGAAAGCGAAGGGCCGATGAATCAGGTAAGCACGTAACGTATCTCTGGAACCTTTCTTTTTTTTTTTTGGAGAATCTCTGAACAAATGAGACTGAATCCTCCGCTTGAACATGGAAATATACATTGCCATATATGTCTTGTTGTGCATGTCGAGAGTAGTGGACCGAGCCCATTGGCAAACATTACCGTTGAGGTTCTGACAGGTTGGACGCGCCGGGCTTCACTCGTGCAAAGAGCTGTTCTTCCTTTACGTTTTTTTTCTTTTATTAAAAAAAAAAAAAATCCAGGAAAAACGGCTGCCAGTTCCGTTGTTTTCTACTTACGAAGTAATACGAAGAGAACGTTTTGAGAGATCGCGACCCTCATCATGACTGAATCTGGCCTGCAAGAACCCTACCATACAGACTGCAATTACCGTTGAGGTTCTGACAGGTTGGACGTGCCGGGTGACACTCGTGCAAAGAAATTCTGATTTTCTTCCTTTAAAAAAAAAAAAAAAAAAAAAACATTCCAGAAAAAACGGCTGTCAGTTCCGTCGTTTTCTACTTCCGAAGTAATAAGAAGAGAACATTTTGAGAAATCGCGACCCTCATCATGACTGAATCTGGCCTGCAAGAACCCTACCATACAGACTGCAATAACCCTACCACACACACAGAGTGTTCCCGAACTACAGGTTACTAAAAGCTTTCAGGCCAACGCGCGGCCTCCAAAAAAAATTTGGCTGCCCGTTTCTTATTTTACGCGAGCAGGGGGCCGGGTCTACTACCGCCCCTCACAACTTCTTTTTTTTTTTTTTGACCCCCATTTTTGGAGGTGCGCCGCATGCAGTGCGCGCGCGTGGTGCGGGATGCGCGGTGCGCCGCACGTGCGCAGTGCAGCGCATCGCGATGCGCCGCAAGTATGCTTTGAACTTTTTAGCAAATAAGAACTAGTATTTTAAAATTCCAGCTATAAAAGATATTACTGTACTGACCCGTCAAAACACAGACTGAGAACACTGCTGATTTCTGAAGTTCTGCCGATGGAATGGATGCCTTGCTGAGATTCCCGCATTCTGCTGTGTTTTCTAAGTCTGTCTGTGTGTGCGTGCTTGTGACCTGCGTGCCTGACTGAGTGCTTGTCGGTATGAGTGTGTGTGTGACCCGCAAGGGTACTTGCTTGTTTGGTAGGCCCGTAGGGCCGGTACTTACCTGTGGCCGTGGCATTGAGGGTTGTGGCAGGGAAAAACACTCAAGTGGCGAAGSTAGCGGCCCCGCGGCCCTTGGGGTAGCGGAAAAACACTCAAGTAGGCCAGTAGGCCGATACTGCACCCCGCTGCAGTTGGAGTGAGGGGGGTACTGGAGGCCGAGCAGAAAAAGACAAAGTTGGCATTTTTAGAGTCCAGTAGCGGTAGGGTAGGTCTAGGCCGGTACCAGTCCAACCAGTCTGAGKCTAGAGCCTGTACGGGTAATATCAGGGTCTGCAATGATGTTTCCCTCCGAAACGGAGGAGGTACCGGTTGCTTGGAGAGGCCGAGCGGCCTGGAAGTCACCGCCCAGGAGGCAAGTAGGCCACTATATCAAGAGGCAGGGCGGAGAGCCCGGCCTCATTCTTCAGTGTGCGAGTTGGGCGTCACGCTGCTGGAGCGCTAGGTGGAGGAGYGCTRGRCWCTACAGCRCTGCTGGGAGGAAGAAGCCGGGAGCTTCCACCTTGGCTATGGTGGAGCTCCACCGGTAGGAGGAGGAGGGAGAAGGGGACCAAGGAGGAGAGTGGCGAGGTACTTACTGGCTATGGTAGACACCATCTTCATCTCCTTGCTGGGCGCTGCATCAGGAAGGCCCCAGTGGGGGTAGTGCCGCATCAAAGAAGCTCGGGACAGAGTCAGGCATGGTGGCTGAGTGAGCAGCGGCATAGCTGCATGGTGATGACCTTGAAGTGGAGCAGCGGCATAGCTGCTTTGAGTGGTCCTTTGGACAGGAGGCTGAAGCCTCGGTAGTCCACCATAGCCTCGGCCTGTATGTAGAGGAAGAAGAAGGGTTGCCATGGCTATGGTGGACCTCATGTTGTGCCTGCAGTACAAGTGGGATTCGGACATTGATTCTGGTTCAGTCATTCAACATTATCATTGTTATTTCTTGTTTGAATAAGAGGGGAGGAGATAAGGAGGAAGGGATTGGTTGGCGAAGAAGAAGAGCCTTGACATTGGTCAATGCTGGAGTACATCATCATCTTCTTCTTCCTCACTTCTTCTTCTTCTTTCCCTCTCTTTCCTCTCAAGTTCATTCATTTCTTTTTGCAATTGGATGGCATTGTACTTTCAGATGAATGTATACTTCGAAATTGGCCAGGATCGTAACATTACGAAGAAATCACTGGGAGAAAAACATCATGAGAAAAGCCTGACAGATAGGGAAGGAATTCCAGAAATTTATCACTGGGAATTTAGGTCTATAAAAATACCATTTATGTTACTTGAACGTGCAATGAACCTCTTAGTTCAATCACCAGTGAGCGCACACAATCACACCACATGCATGTATGACTTCACACGAATTTCACATTGGAGGTCAGAGCGATGAGGACCAGGTAGCACAGCTTATAATACCAACAAATTATCATAAGAGCAGTAAGAGTTCAAGTCACCAGCGCACCAGCCAGTATCCAGCATAAACTATATCTCGTCCTCACTTCTCTTCTCTCTTATGTATCTCTTTCCCTCGCTGGTCTTCTCCCTAACCATGTCCTCACTGTGTCTTCTCTCCCTACATGTGTGCATACTCACTAACTTCTACTTCAAGGATCTACTCTGAATACACCCACTGATATGTCTACTAACCCTTTGAAGTCTACTACTATCTACTAACCCTTTATGCAGTGGCGCAGCTATGGCTGCCTTCTCCCTGCCAGCGCTCTCTCTCTCTCTCTCTCTCTCTCTCTCTCTCTCTCTCTCTCTCTCTCTCTCTCTCTCTC